AGTTTTATATCCTACATATGACTGAAATCAAACAGTTCTTCACTTTTTCTGACTTACTTCACTTAGCAGAATAGTCTCGCGGTCCATCCATCTGGTCACTAATGGCGCTATTTCATCTTTCCTTACGGCTGAGTAGCATCCCATGGTGTTTGGGTACCCCATCTTCTTCATCCAGTCCTCTATCAAAGGACACTTCGGTTGCTTCCATGTCTTGGCCACCATGAATAGAGCTGCAACAAACATGGGGTGTAGATACCTTTGCCAATAACGTTTTCAGATGTTTCCGGTGGAAACTCAGAGGAGGGACTCCTGGGTCAGACGGTAACTCTTATTCTTAATTTTTTGAGGAATTTCATGCTGTTCTCCAAAGTGGCTGCACCAGTGACATTCCCACCAGCAGGGACTGAGGGTTCCTTTTGCTCCAAAACCTCTCCAACACTGGTTATGACTTGTCCTGTCGATAATGGCCATGTTCGCGGGGTGAGATGGCATCTCGTTGTAGTTTTTATTTGCATTTCTCTGATGTATATTGTATCTGTTGGCCATGTGTATGCCTTGGGAGAAGTGTCTGCTCAGCTCCTCTGCCCCTTTTTGAATGTGATTGTTTGTTTGGTGTGGAGTTGTATGAGTTCTTTAAGTATTTTGCATATTAACCCCTTCTCAGAGCTGCTGTTTACAAATATCTTCTCCCATTTGGTTGGCTGCCTTTTCATTTTGTTGGCAGTTTCTTTGGCTGGACAGAACCTCTGCGGTTTGATATAGTCCCTCCCATTCATTTATTTTTGCCTTTATTTCCCTTGCCTTTGGGGTCAAATTCATAAAATCTTCTCTAAGACCCAAGTCCATAAGTTTAGTACCTGTGTTTTCTTCTATGTAATTTATTGAAGATGGCACTTAAAAAAACAAACTTCAGCCCTGCTGGCGTGGCTCAGTGGTTGAGCATTGACCTATGAACCAGGAGGTCACAGTTTGATTCCCAGTCAGGGCAGATGCCTGGGTTGCAGGCTGGATCTCCAGTGGGAAGCGTGCAGGAGGCAGCTGATCCATGATTCTCTCTCATCGTTGATGTTTCTATCTCTTTCTCCCTCTCCCTTCCTCTCTGAAATCAATCAAAATCTATATATATTTTTTTAAAAACTTCAATACTAAGGGATTATTTAATTAATTATTGCAATGTAACACTTTCATTGGTAAAATAATTTATCTTTCCTGGAAAATTTTCCAGGGTGTGAAAATGAAGTGGTTTACATACTATCCTATATAATAAAAGGCTAATATGCAAATTGTCTCCTTGAGAGTTCAATCGACCGGGAGTACGACCACTCGTTATGATGTGTGCTGACCACCAGGGGGCGGTGCAGAACGAAGGAAGGCCCCGACTGGAAGGCCCTGATCGGCCTTGATCGCCAGCCAGGCCTAGGGACCCTACCCGTGCACGCATTTCGTGCACCTGGCCTCTAGTATTTCTCTAAATAGGAATAAACTCTTGAGGCAAAATAAGATTCATCTCAATAATAAATTAATTGTCTTTCAGGTTGAAGAACATTTGCACGTTTTGCGTGCCACCTACAGAGATATCGTTGCTGAGAAAGACATACTAGCAGGTCGCAGACAGCTCGCCATGAGGCGCATGCACTGTGCGTCTGTGCTGCTCACCGCCCTGGGAGATGAGAAGGTGTGACTTTTGTTGGTCTTCTTGTCTCCTCCATTAATTTCTCATGCTTGTCTTCAAACAGGGGTAACCGACCCCAAAGATCAGAAGTTGTTTCGCTGGCCCCTAAGGCATCAGCACCCTTTGGTGCGATGCCCAGTAAAACTCTGAGTGTCAGATTCTCTTTTCTAGCACAGGAACAATCCAGGATGAATGTATCAGAAGGGATGGGGCGAAAGGGAGTGGGGTGGGCGGGCGCCAGGAAGGGAAAAGAATGTTTTCTTTTGTTCTGTCCGTCTTCTGACCTATTTCACCTTATCTTATTATTTCTCTTCTAACTCATCTTCTTTGTCTATCCTGGAATCCCTAGTGAGCCGAGGAGGTTTAGGCAGTCCTCAGCTCTCTCAAAGGATGTTACAGAACCCTCAACATCATTTTATTTTTTTTAATATATTTTATGTACATGCCCTTGATCGGAATCGAACCTGGGACCCTTGAGTCCACAGGCCAACGCTCCATCCACTGAGCCACACCGGTCAGGGCCACATCATTTTAATTTAGTTGGTTTAAGCAGAGCAGTGGTGCTCAACCTTCCTCATGCCGCAACCCTTTCATACAGTTCCTCGTGTCGTGGTGCCCCCCAATTTCATTGTTACAAACGGAACATCATGAAAGCATAGTGATTCATCACAAAAACAATATGCCATTATAGATGTGTCTTCCGATGGTCTTGGGCAACCCCTGGGAAAGGGTCGTTCGACCCCCAAAGGGGTCGCGACCCACAGGTTGAGAACCTGAAGTAGAGACCTGTGAGGGAAGACTCCTACAGGGCAGGCGAAAGGAGGTTATGAAGTTAGACCCAGCAGAGGGAGATCATATCCCTCCGTTTATGTCCTTGAGAGCCTGTATGCTGAGCGGTGGCCGAACATCAGCATTAGCCCAGGTGTTCAGCTGCCGGAGGCTGGGGTCCTTGGCCAGCATGGAGGCTGGGGTCCTTGGCCAATGCGCTTCATTTACCGACAGTTAAGCACAGACGTGGTCGAGGGAGGAGGCTGCACAGCCAGGGAGCGTGGGTTCAGACGCCAGCCACCCAGCGAGAGAACTTTGTGAACTTGAGCAAGCTGCCTAACTTCTCTAACCTTCAGCTTCCTCCTCTTTATTAAAATGAAGTCAGTGGCTTTTATTTAACGGGATATTGAAAAAGTCCAATGAGATTTTTTCAAAGTAAAATGTCTATCAGATAAGCGAGGAGTTAATAAATATTGGTCATTATTATTATTGAACGCCATTCATAACATAATATGATTTATTTTTTTTAATTTCCCTGCTTTATTACACAAAGAATTTGAAACGCCTATCCATCTTAGCGAATATGATCCCATTGGCAAATCCAAAAATAGGACTCGTGTTCCCTTAAAAAAAAAAGTGCGTGTTTTTATCTTAGCCGTGATTAATTGTATTATACAACCACAGCAGGAGAAGAGGAATAGGAATGGCAATGATGGATCCAACTGGGGGGCCCTTTAATTTCCAAAGTGTCTCAAAATAGTAGATTTTATAGTAAAGACCGGTAACTCATTCTCATTTTAACATTTAGACTCGGTGGCAAGAAACAATCGATCAGATAGACAGCAAGTTGGAAGGGATTGTGGGCGACATCCTGATTTCAGCCGCGTGCATTGTCTACAGCGGAGTATTAACAGCAGAATTCCGCGAGCTGATTGTGAATACGTGGGAGAATCTTTGCACGAAAAACAACATTTCTTTGTCTTCTCACTTTTCTTTAATTGAAGTCATGGCACAAACACAGCAGGTACTACCATATCTATTATCCAGTTGAGTGGCTTTATTGTTGATTTGAATTTTTGCAGGTGCATTTTTTTGGCTTGGGTCTTTCCCCCAAATCATTTTGATAAATGAAAGTACTGAAGTCTGTTCTAGGCCTTAAATTTTTTTTTAAGTTATAGTTTTAATTCCTCAATTAGTTACATCTACTATTTCCCAATCCTTTGGGCAAAGTCACAAAATACATTTTTTCTCATGGCAACACTGTCTAATAAATATAGCCGATTTCTTTCCCTGAAAATCTTTTCATTAATAAATTGGTGAACTTATTAAATCACGGGTAGTATTCTTAGAAACAGCCAGGATATAGACCTCACATTTATTAATTTATCAATAGATATTTATTGTCTACGTAAGTCCCAACAATGGTATCCCAGAGAGTAATTTTAAATTGGTTCCCCTGCTGACAACTCAACTTAAACTGACCATCCAACCTACAAATTCTCAGAAGCAATTTGTTTTTATAACGCTAAGAACAAATTTAAACCCAAACAAATCAATAATTACATTAAATGTAAATGGTCCAATTAAAAGGCTAAGCTTATAAGACTATATAAAAATGTAAACCAAAATACAAAGCAGAAATCATATGTTACTTAGAGAGGACACATCTAAAACACAAAGATTGATTATAGTAAATTTCCTCCCCATTTTCTATAGATTATGTTTTTAAAAAGAGAGCATAAACTTTAATGCAAAAAGGGATTGCTAGAATTGTATAACCATGTGTTACAACACAGTAAGCATTGGTTTAAGTCTTCGAGAATGCGTTAACAATTCTAAATTTGTTTGTACCTAATAACATGACCTCAAATTCATATAAAACGAACATTAAAAGAACTTCATATGAAAATGGACAAATCTGCCATCATAGTGAACGATTTTAAGACTCTTCTTTCTGTAACCCGTAGGAAAAGGACACAAAAGTCGGTACGAATAGAGAAGATTTGCCCAACATGATTAACAAATGGGTAACGGGCACAATAGGATTCTGCAGCCCACACCTGCAGGTTACACATTCTATGCAAGCACACAGAGAACTTTGCTAAAATTGGCTTTTTAATGAACCACAAATAAAGTTCAGCAAACGTCAGAGG